GTTCTTGTTTAGTAAATCAGTCTCAAAATAAGATCAAAAAGACTTTTTGGCTGATATAAGATTTTAAAACTTGGTAAGATGGACAGTTTTTGCAGTGCATATGGTGAAAAACTGACTTTGAAAAATAAATGTTTTTTTTTCTTATAAAAGGCTAAACAAAACAAAAATACTGATGATAATTTTTGACTGTGTAACTTTACAAACGGCACCCCATAGTGTAGCATATTTTTAAAAGTGCATTACACTTAAAACCCTGTAGTTTTGTTTTTTACAGTACTTTAACACTCACTGTAGAAGAGTATTTTATGGTTATTTCTTCATTATTTCCTTTTAGAATAAATCATAAGACTGACTTGTTTTAGTTTAAGCCCACCCATTTTAATAGAGAACCCACCAGTAGTTGTGTTTACGGTGTTCATCCTTTCATCAGGCTGATCTTCGGACCAAAGCGACCCACTCGGTGCAGACTGACCTGAGCCTCATGAGGAGGGAAAACGTCACCCAGACGTGGCTTCCTAAAGACGCTGCGTGTCAAAGCAGGACGGATGTTGGGAGCAGCGTGGCCAAACCTCGGGCCTATCTGTCCGGTCTGAGGGGACAGAAAAATGCACGTGTGGTCCAAACGAACCTGACAAGACCTGAGAATGAGTAAACAAAACATGAACTTTAAAGGAACTGAGGTCATTTGTAGCAGGGGATCAAATTTCATTGTTTTTAAATTGCAAGCTGTTTTATTGAGAGCTGAAGCTCGAGGTTTGAAGTTATCTTCAAAAAAAGAACATGTAGACCCTTAGTTTTTTTTTTTTTTTTTTTACCAAATATCCATTAGAAGTTGCAGACATTAGTTTTAAAACAGCCTAAGATAAAAATATACTCTTTTATGATCTCAAACTTTGGAGCTTTAGAAAATGTGTTTAACAACCTTTGAGAGTTTTTGTTTAAATTTGATACTTTGTGCTGTTGAACATGCAGCACAATTTTATTGATGGTGAGTTTAATCTTGTCCTGTTTTTAAGGTTTATAAAGTTTGTATTTGTACTTGAAAAAACTTCTTTGGTGGACATTACAAAAAACGAGTCTACTTCCTGAAAAGTGTTCTTTGCTCAGCTGGATGTAATCGATGTATTTTATTTATCATAAAGTTTTCTGGTTTCTGACAAACTGGCTGCTCATTTCTAAATGTTAGATTTAGAGTTGGGCTGTGTTTCACCATACAGGGGTTACCATCTAATATATTGTGATACTGTAAGCCAGGTGATGTTACCTTGYTTTTCTCCAGAAGATGAAAATGAATATTAATGCTGAAAAATTTTGCAGATAAAAAGATGCACAAAATATTTAGTTTATTGTAAAATTGCCAAAAAAGCTGAAATTATTACAAAAAGGTGAACTTGGGTGAAAAAGCGCAAATTTTTATTTTAAGGGTAGCGCCTCGTCAGGATGCCTTCATGAAGATGATCCTTGCTCTGTGCAGGGTCTGTGGCTGCATGACGCAGAGCTCCTGTTCTCCCATGTTTGTTATGTTCGGTCTTCTTCTGAATGACTGTTCTGAACTGTAACTTCATTGTGCTCTGTACAATGACAATAAACGTCTCTAAATCTAATTTAAATTAGCTGAAACAGCTAAAAATTAGGTTAAATTAGCAGAAAGAAGCCAAATGGCTGAAAAAAGGTTAAAATTGGCAAAAAAAAAAAAAAAACATTCAAGTGGAACCAGAAGAAAAGGTGTTTAAACATTTTAAAGGGATCCCAGATTAGTTGTAACATTAGACTTTATATGATAAACATACATTAACTGTAAAATAAAGACTGTAAAAATACTGTAGGC